TCCTTCCAATCCAAACTATTCTATGATTCAGATAAGTGCATCCCTTTTCTCCACCAGGAGCGGTAGCTGGAGTTGGTGTTTTGGTTGATGCTGTTAATGCAAAGTCTGTATAAATAGTGATGGAATTGTAGTGTGTTTGTGATTAAATCCCTTCTGTAACTGTTGATAGCCCTCCGTCACTCTCCAGGAGATCTTGGCAGCGGTGGCTGTTTGTATTTGTAGTGACGGTGGTGTCCTGTTTTGCTGCCCTGAAAAAGCAACTTGGGTAGTCTATGGAGCACATGCTTTCTGGGCATCTGCTCTGAGACCCACCAGATGATCCAGAGCTCTGCACAGGGCAAGGGTGTTGGTCTGAAACTGGCTGCAGGACCTGTCACTAACATAACTGGTTGTCTGTCTGCTTTCCCCTCAGGTCCCGTAAGTGAAAGAAGATGGGGTCAGGCTGCCTAAAAGTCACCAAGTACTTCCTCTTCCTCTTCAATCTCCTGTTTCTTGTAAGTATGGTGGGCAGTATCTGCAGAGTAGAAAGGAAGGCCTGGACTAAAATTAGCTGGAAAGGTGTTTTTTCTGGATGTTGGCCCAGTGTGTTCATTAAAGAAAGTGGCCAGAGTTTTGGAAGGAGGGAGGGAATCCCTGAAGCTAAGGGACATCAGAGCTGCTGTTCGGCTCCCAGGTATGTCGAGCAGCTCTGCTCCTAGTACCCACCTGCTGTCTCCAATGCACGCAGCTCCCTTCCTGCGGTGGGAAGGGAAAACAGGAGTTATGGGTTCTTTCTGGAGGGAGAGTAGTTGTAACTACTTTCTCTGCCACATCTGGAGCAGCAGCTAAGCTGTCCCTGAGCAGCAAAGCTACAAAACCTGCCAAGGAATGGCAGTGCCCTCCTAAATAGGTCAGGCAAGCTTCAAAGAACAACTCTAATTTTGTTTGAGTCCCAATGGCTGGTTTTGATTTTTAACAAGATGAATTAGTCCAAGTCCCCTATTTGAAATGGCGTTGGGATGTGAGGGAGACCGGGGCAGGCTTGCCTGGGAAAATGAGGCAGCCCACTGGATGCAGTTATTCTCAAGTGTGAGGCTCAGCAAAAGATGAGCTCCTTTTGGATCAGAGTGGGTCTGGGAGGGCTGCACGTGTTCTTGCATGCATCCTTCTGTGAAGCTTAGATATTGTGTGTCATGTGGATGGTGATGGTACTGTTGGTGCTGCCCTCCTGCAGTGGGATGGTGTAGTGGGGAAGCATAAGATTTCAGCTTTCCACATATCAGCAAGAAGATAGCCTGCCTGATATTGCTACCCTTTGTGCAGCGTGTAAGGGGAAGGAAGGGCCAGGCAGGGAGGGAAATGGAGCACGATAAGGTGAGCACTGCTTTCTGGTCTCTGTCCCTGCACACAGCTTCACTCTTGCTTCCTGCATGGCTGGGCTGTGCTGCTGGCGCAGGGGCTTGAACTTGAGGCACATCTGGATCTGGTTTCCCTTGGCTTATTCTGCTGGCTCCTTCCTCTCTGCGTTTTGCTTCCATCCTAAGAGTAGTTAGCTCTGGTCTAAGGGCTGAAAGTCAGGGGTGCTCAGAGCATCCATGGGGAAGACTCTTGGGAGGAAGAGGAGAGGAGAGGTTTTTCAAGTGCCACTAGATCTTTCAGTATGAGTTGGTCCACTTTAAGGTTAGGAAAAATCCAGCTGAGTCCAGGCCTGTCCTCCTAGAGCAGGACTCCTCTGAAGACATATTAGCATCCAGGCTATCTCCTCTCTTGAAGAGGTGGTACTTTTTAAGCAGCATATAACTTAACCAGTCTACCCTGGGAAGCAGAACTGCATTTGTTAAGGCCGTGTTTGAGTCTTGCTGAAGCCCAGTACCTGGCCCTGTCTAGTCTTCCTTTATCTCTGAGCCTAGGCCCAAGTTCACTAGCTAACCTCTGTATAGAGAAAGTTTCCTTCAAGGAAGCCAGCTTAGCATGGGAGGAAAGGGGAAAGATGACAGCCTGAGATACTATGGTGCCTTACAACACTGTCGCTGTTTTTGCTGGATGCTATCAATGGTCATTGTGGTATCTCTATTCCACATTGCTCTCCTCTCCCCTCTCTGCTGAGCCAGGCATGGTTGTGGGCAGCCTGCGGGGATAGCTGCGGTGTCAGGAGGCAGAGTTGAACTGCTTCGTCGGGCTGACCCATGTCTGTGCTGAAAAGCATTTTCCTATATTTTGCAAGACTGGGAGGATGGCAAGCGCTGAATCCCTCTGTGGGTCTTGGGGAGGCTTGAGCACTCCTGCCTGGGTTGCATGTGATGGGAAGCTGTTTTGTCCTGTGCACACCCTACTCCTCTGGTGTAGCAGCCAGCCCCTCTCCCTCGTGGGGAAAGCTGATCTGATGCACTGAGCTGGAGAGTAACTGTTTTAAGGTGGGGCGTGAGGAGGTCTGCGCTGACCAAAGCGAGAAGCTGCTTTAATAAGCTCTTTGCTAAGCCTGCCATGCAACACGGGCACTGTCTTCCCCTCAGGCTGCTTTGTGCCAGTGAGGTCTCTGAAGCCGCTGTGTTTTGGTGGGGAGCTTGATACTTGTCTGAAGTGAAGGTTTTGAGCATGCTTCTGTCTTGACTGATGGCAGGCTTTTTGCGTGTGCCAGATGTTGAGGGAGGCGGTATCCATTACTCTCTCGCTGTCATAGGAAGTAGTTGACATGAGAAGCTTTTTCCATTATGGTTGTTCAAGGTCTGAATGGGGGGGGGGATTCTTGAGTTTATATGATGTGGTAGATGAATATTAATCTAGCAGAGAAATTGTTTCTGTTGAATTGCTGTGAGCTCCCGGCACGGACAAGTTTTGAATACCTCATGCTAGTTTCCCAGAGCTGCTGAGTTTTGTTGAGGAGACTGCTTGCACAAATGTGAACCTTAATGCTGGTGAGGGAGCTTTGTGTCTGCTCTGGACCTTGAGCTGAGTCTCTGTCATGGCACCCTGTGTAGGCCAGCCCTTGCTATTGAAGTGTGTTCTCCAGCCTTGCTTGGAGCTGATGAATTAAGCCTTTAGAGACATGCTAGTGACTCTTTTAGAAGTTAGTCAGTCATTGAAATAGCACCTCTCGACAGCTTGAGGTCTATGAGAAGGTCCCTTGCTATAGCTGAAGTAGTTCAGGGACTTGGTGGTATTTTGCAGTCTTGGAGCCTTACTTCAGGGAAGGGTTTGACCTGCTTTGGTTAAAGGGAAGAAGGTTATTTGGAATGCTTGCCTACTTGCTACAAAAGATACCAAAAACATAAGCTTGGAGTATAAGCTTAGTTTCTCTAATCAAAACTTAACACATCTCTACCTTGGGTAGCAGACATGGGCCACAGCAGATGCTTGTCCTTAAAGGGAAACAGTTCTGTGAGACAAGTTCAACAGTCTCTGGAAACTACTTGTTTAGAATATAGAACTGTCTGTCCTACTTCTAACCCTTCTGTAAATGGAGCAGAAGGCTACTCTCTAAAACAAAGCCTGGAGTTTGAGAGCCTTTCTGTTGGCCTTTGTGCCAGGCTCAACATTACCTCGCACAATCTGAGTGTGAAGGAAGGCAATGCTGGCGGAGGACAGCTGGGGACCCCCAGCTGCTCTTTCCAGAAAGGTAGAAAAGCTCCATCACAGCTTAGTTCCTCCATGCCCCTCTTCACTGGGCTCTGCTGTGGGAAACTGCTGGCCCTGCCTTGAGGGAGCTGTATCCTTCTGGCTTGGGTGTGGAAGGGGATCTTGCTGAAATCAGGGGTGAAATCTCTACCCCCAGGATGGATGGGAGATGTCTGTCCCCCACTTCAGGAGTTTAAACCAGTGGAGCAGAGGAATTACTGTATGGAAGGCAGATGTGATTTCTTCTATGGAAGGTCTGAAGCCAAGCTGGTGGCAGAAGCAACCTGACTATGCTATGCAAACTCCTGGCGATGCTGAGCAGAGATACTATCCTGCTGGGAGGTAAATACACTGTTGTTAATAGGACAGTGTTTTCTCCCTGTGGTTTTTCTCCCTGCCTTCCCCTTTTAGTGTTTTCCACAGCAGCTCCTGGCAAATGCACAAGTTGTGGACTAGAGCAAAGATCAGACTGAAAACAGGCCTTGGATGGTCTGAGCACCTCATAACAAATAACTTCCAAGGAACTCAGCTCAGCAGCTGTTCTGTGTTTTGTCAGTAACAGCAAAACTTAGGTGACATTTCAGGGTCAGCAAGCCAAGAGAGTTGTCACATACAGCCTGGTTTGCATCTTTGTTAAGACAAATATTTTATTAAGACTATAGTTTAAATGTGAGACTGCCTCGAAACTGTAAATTCAGCAGTTCTTGGCAATACCAAGTTTGAGAGGAATTTTTTAGGCGCCACAGCTGTTGCATGTTCAAGGGGCCTTTCTAGTTTGATCAGCAGATTGAATGCTGTGGTGCAGCATGTTGGGACATAAGGCAAGGGGGAATTCCTGTTACTGCCATCTTGTCTTTTTATCTTTTTTTTCTTTTTTTCTGGGATACAACAGCTATATGCTTTCTGCAGCTGAGTCAGTCTTCATCCATCTTCATAGATGGGAACTTGCTTGGTGACTTTCTAATCCTGTCCCCAGAGCTAACTACATGTTGTGCCCCCTGCCAAGCTAGGAAAGCTTCCAAGCAGCTTATTTCAGACTGTTGCTTTATCTTTGCTCAGAAAAGCTTCTTTGTATGAGGAGCTGAAGCATAGTGTAAACTTTCAAAATGTGGAGCCAATGCCTGTCCATACAACCCTTTCTGCCAGCGTGCTTCAGGTGGTGGTTTGGCATTTCCCTTGTCTCCCAAATATCAGAACATTCTCTAACGAAGCACAGAATTGCAATCTCTCTTCAGCCCTGTTGGTTTATTTAGTATTTCTCTTTATCCTATCTTGAAATCCTGCTAGTGTAAGAACTGCTCCTTGCAGTTCATGTCCTCTGGAAGCATCTCACTTGTACTACTCGTCCTTCCCTGGTTTCTTCAGTCTGTTTTAGATCTTTGCACAACAAGTGGTTTCCAGCCTTTGCCACTTCTAGTTGGCTGAACAAGTTTCAGCTTCTTATCAAACCTGAAGACTTACAGGCTTCTCAGCATAATTACTTTATTATGGGTATAATGGTGCTCTCATCCCTGGGATCATCTACATGCAAACACCTCACAGTGTAGTATAAAACGTGGTGATACCTGGAAGCTAAAACAGAGCATGCTTTTTTTTCCTCTTCCCCTTCCCTTTCAAAATGAGATAGGAAAAACCGTATGTCTCTTGCCTTCTCAATTCAATGTCTGGATTCAGCTGAGTCCTCACAGGGATGTATTGCTCTGCTAATCCCTGCCCTAGATAAGACTGTGTGGTGAGTGAGGCAGAGGCCGTGGCTGATGTTTCGTAACACTTGAGTCTCTGTTGGTGGTAAGATGTGTTGGCTTGAGGGACTGGGGTATTCTGGCATAAAGTAGTGGCCAAGCCTAAGCTTGGCTTTGGAAGGGGCAAAGCACTTCACTCAAGGGAACCTGCATGCAGAGTGAATGCTGCTGGTTTTTTTGCTTTTGTGGGTTGAAGCCATAATATTATAACAGAGCCTGACAAGCCAAAGATTTCCTTCCTGGGAAGGTTCCAGCTGCCAGATATCTCATCCTTTGGCAGCTGGCTCCCAGCCTGGTCCCATAGGGTCAGGGATTTCTCTATTAAAAAAATCTTCAAAATCGTATGCTAGATGTGTTTGTCCTTCCTCTGTTCTTCACAGAAGCAGTGCACTTACCTCTTGCTTCTGACAACAAGGTTCTAGCAGCAGGATGTCTCTTCCTCAGACTGTTTTGATCAGTCCTCCTATACAACATCATGTACTACTAAAATACCGTGTGAAGGACTGCCAAGCAGAACCCAGGGCTCCTGTGCAGTTGGCTGAGGTGCTTTTCCTGGAGTCATGCTAATCCTGTTTACTCTGGGAGGAGTACCGTGGGGGAGGTGGGTGGGAACAGCAAAAGAATGGTTGTTTTTACTCTGGAAGTATGGAGAATGGTGACTGCTGCTTCTTATTTGTCTAAACTAATAAGCCAGCTATATGTGTTTTGTTCTTACTCTTTCAGATTCTGGGCGCTGTGATCCTGGGTTTTGGAATATGGATTCTGGCTGACAAAACCAGTTTCATTGCGGTTCTACGTAAGACCATGTTTCTTCATCTTCTTTCTCCTGAATTGACTCTAGTCCGGGGCTGTGCTTGACCATGATGTAGTACATACTTTTATGCACAGTCTGTGTCCTGAGCAGGCTCCTGAATTGACTCTAGTCCGGGGCTGTGTTTGACCATGATGTAGTACATACTCTTATGCACAGTCTGTGTCCTGAGCAGTAACATGGTGTATAGCAAGATGGGACTATATTGGGGACAGGGTGAAAGGGAGCAACCCTGGAGACAAGCATTCCTCCTAGTCTTGTGGATTGCAGCACCAGGGTCAGACTGAGTGAGACCTCTTTACCCAACAATCCAACTACTTAATCTTAAACATAGGGACTAGTATTTCATCCTATTTTCACTGCATGCTCTGTGTTTCCACAACAGCTTCCTTACTACCATTGTGTCCAAAGGCTCCCACTGCCTTAATGTAGTTTGGTATGTGAGTCTCCTATGCTCCTGCTGCTTTCTGTAATGATCTATTTGAATTTGACTGTTCTAAATGCCAAAGAAAGAAAGTACCTGGTTTTAATGATGCTTCATGTACGTTGAAAGTAGCCAGTATGTTTGTTCCTAAGCAGCAGAAGATGTAGATCTGAGGGGGGCTGGAAGGTGTGGGTCTGTGAAATTTTTAGTGCTCTGACTTCTAAAACATACTCAATTATACACACTTCACAAGACTTAGCCCGGCCATCAGAGGTGTTCTGTGTTGCTGCATGTGCAAGGGGCTAACTTCCTTCCCCTTTAAGTCAGCCAAGAGCATCGACTTGAGTCTTGACAGAGGGTTTGGTTTCTGCAACAACCAAAAAACTGAGCTGGCTTAGCAGAGCCTGGGCTTCTCAGGGCTGTAAGTGGACTCTCACCAAATGAGTAGCTCAGCTCCATCTTTCACAAGCTCTGCTTCCTTTCTGCTTTTTCCTAGAGGGGGCTTCAAACAACTTTTCTGCTTGGCAGGTCTGGTTACCCATTGCCACTACCTCCAGAATTGCTGACTCTGGCACCAGTGTCAGATGCTGCAGGAGGGCTGCCCACACACTGCTTGCAGCCCCAGGGAATGAACAGCAATGGCATTCATAGCCCTGTTCCCAACTACACTGGTCTTGCAAAGGGCT